GTGCGCGCTCAGCAAGAGAGCCAATGGAATTCCTAAGATTTGATTCAAGGAAATTTCTCCTAGTGACTCTAGGTGGCACACAATGAGAACCAAGTTAGTGAGCCCTTTGAATTTGACGTCGCCTAATAAGAATAATCTAGCCTAACAATCTCCAAGTTAGTAAATTCTCTAATTTTGGTATCGTTCAACGAGAATACCCTTATCCAGGGACTCTGCATAATGTAGACAACGAAAACTTGCAATATAGCATTTTCAAGCCAAACCAAACACCAATCTTAAGCTTCGTACAAGTTACAAACATACCAATTTCATGTTAAACAATGAAACCAAGTCAAAATTGATCTTTGTAGTACCATTCATATAATAATACCCCAAATAATTAGTCATACATCCTAATTTAATAGTTCAACATCATCAAACTCAATGATTGATCACACAATCACAAACCCAAATGTAGATACAATAAATCAAGCAGTTTTAAAAATAGAGTAATTAAAATTAGCTTTCTTCACCTGGTGTCATAACTCTAGGTACTCTAAAACTTCAAACTACATTCAATCTCATAGGAGACTCTATCTACACATAAAAACATCACAAAGATGATTAGATCATATCATTATTGATCATTGATAAACATATACTCACAAAGAGTATAAAAACACAACACGCGACACCAATTAATGATTTCATGCAAAGAGAGAGGAAACCACAACCACACAAAAAATGGTAAAAGACCAACTTACTCTATTAGAGATTTTGATTGTCTACCCTTGTAGAATTCAATACTCTTATCACAAAGATGGTTTGGTCGTCAAATCGATAAATAAGAATATAAAAAACTTAGAAAAAAGAAAAAAAACTCTAAAAAAAATTATTTCTACATAAATAGTGATTATATATAAATTAATTTCAATTATTATAATTTTATTTATAATTTTATTAAATAATATAATATTATCTTTTTATAAAGACCATCATTACTCTTAAGTTATGTTCTAGATTCTCACGTTACCAACAATTCAATATTAGACATCTATAGACATATTTATCATCCACCAACACAATAACTAATCAACAAGTTAAAGAAATGATTCTTAATTTTTCTATACCCATAATACTCAATACTTCTTTTCTAAAACAATTGAAAGTAAATAAATATTTTAAATAAATTTTTATTTAAAATTAGTATTCATAAAATTTACTCAATTTACTATTTATTAGATTTTAGAATTAACATAGAATTATTACTAAATTCATATTATATAAATATATTTTTAGTATTTTATTTTCTAAACTAAAATATAATCAAAAACCTTACTTGATGTGTTTAACCCAAACATTTCATAACTTTTTTTTTCTGATTTAAGTTAACTAAATTAATTTTAACATAAAAAAAAACATGGAATATTTTTCTCCTCTTTTCTTATAATACTCTCTTCGAATAAAGGAATTAACTTTACTTTTTTCTTGTCTCATCTCTCTTTCAAATAACAGTCAAACGTCATTATTTTTCACCTTTAAGTTTCAGTTGTTTTTATATATTTTAAGTTCTCTATTCGCTCACATTCTAATTTATTTGTACTTTTTAACTAACTAAGAACTTCATATTTCTTTTATTTTAAATCTAAACTTCTTGAATAATATATCAAATTTAAACAAGAAACGTAAAAATAAATAAATATATAATAAAATATGTTTTAAAACTAATATACATATTAGTATGACAAAATCCGAACACATAATTACGTTATTTCAATTGTATGTATAATGTATAATATAAGATTAAAATCATCCCATAGTTAATATTATTAATTATTACCTTTCGGTTTCCAACAATCACTAAGTAATTATTTGTGTGTATTAAGAAAAAAAAGGTAAAACATGTGAGAATTTTAATCTCATCTATTCCCCTCTCTCTCTGTATAAAGAAATTTCCCTTTTTTTTTATCCATCTTTATTTTCCAATTTGATCTTTTAAATAAATTTTTTAAATTAAAATAATTATTTTATTGATTTTACTTTAAATAACAGTTTTTTTATAAATTAATCGTTTTTTAAAATTTGACATTTTTTAATTATAAAACTACCTTTAAAATAAATAGAAAAACAATAAAATTATAACAATTATTTATATTTAATTTTATAATAATAAAAATAATAATAATAATAATAATACTTTTATTATTTTTTATTATTATAAAGAAAAGTGAATACACGTGGTAATGTGTTTTCACTAATGTCTAATAAGTTAATTAGAAAAAGTTTGGAATTTTGTGTATTAAAATATTAAAATTAGTGAAAATAAAACAAAATGGTTATCAAAGATAAATACTTGCTTGCCAAGACAGATGTTAAGTGCAGTGAAAGATGGACGTCCATCGGATTTCAAAGGTTGATATTGTAATAATAATACAAATTAATATAAATTATTTTTTTGGACCCACAGTGATGATTATGGGGGAAAAGTTCTGGTTGGAAGGTACAAAGCCTACCTAAAATAACTTTTCTACGTTAAGTTTCATAAATTTGAAATTAATTAATTATAAAACTATACATAACTGTTTTATGTTTAAATACCTAATAAGTTATTTTTCTTGCAAAATAACAAGTAAATTCAATTTTTTTTTAATTACGATAAACATGTTTCAATTTTTCAAAATATTTTTGAGCGAGAATATCTTTGGTTGAGTTTCCACACTCGGGACCTTTTTGTCATTTCATGAATTCAATTATTTCAAGAAATTTTTGAACTATCCTATTTTGAGCATTTTTCTAAATAACAACTTCAAAATAATTTTGAACATTTTTCTGTATTTTTGTTATAATTACTGTTTCTAGAGACGTAATTTTCATTATTATTTCCCTCATCTCCAAAACGCTATTAAAAATTAAAATCAAATTGCACTCACTATTCCGAATTAAAATAATTTGTTTATTTCAAAAATAATTATTTAGAGTTGAGAATTCTACATATTTTTTAACTTAAAAGTATTTAAACTAACATAAACAATTTCTTAAACATATTGTATCAAAATTCTTGTCATTACTTTGTTTTTCTCCAATTTTCATTTGGATAATTGTTGTATGCTCATTTTTTTCAAATGTTAAGCTTCCTTTGTGTTCAACCAAAAATAATTTTCGTGCAAATTGTCACAGCTTTCATCGTGTCATTTTGTCTATCATTATAATTTCTTTTTCATCACTACTTTGTTTTATTCCTTTTCCAAATGGTGGTGCCTAAAAAAAAGATAGTGAGAGATTAATATATTTTTTTTTCTTTTAGGATTAAGAGTGACATTACATGACAATTTAGGTTGTATCAACGTACTCCATGTATCAAATGGAAAAGTCAAGTCAAACAAATTGAGATATGGATTGTATTTTGGGTAGATTTTAAGGTGGACCACCTTCATGTATTATTATTAATAATTAACACATTTATACAGAGTAAAATATTATATATTTCTTTTATTAAATATTTTTATTTACTTATTTATTTTAAGTAATCTCTTCAACTTTTTTAATCGTAATATATTAAAAGTCATTATTCAAATAATAAGAGAAATAAAAGATAAAGAAAATAGCACGAAGAGTAACTCTATAAAAAAATGTAACTACGGCGGTGAGATAAATTTGAAATGAAGAAGTGTTGTTGTAATTGAGGATATGATAAGTTGTTGTGTGTCTCACCACTCACATTATTAAATGTGTCTAAAATATTATTATTCATGGTTGATAGGATGTCTAAAATTATTGTTTCATAATTTTTGTTATTTTGAGTGTTTGACTATTCAAATGAGAGTATAGAAAAAAACATTACTAAACAAAGTATATGAGAATATTGTTACATGAATTACAAACATGAAATCAAGATGGCTTATAAAAGTGAGAAAAAATAAGTAACCATATCTTTAATCAATGACTATATATTTGGAAAATTAAATAAATATAAAAGAAAAATGAAAAATATAAGTAAGTGTGAAAAGTTTTACTAGTTTTCCTTTTTCCTTTAGTCGTTGTTAGAATTTTCTTTGTTTTGTTATCACTATATTGGTGTTAGTCTTTTAATTGTAAGAAATTTATATGTGATGCATAATCTAATATAAAACTTTTTATTCATTAATTTATTGTGAACTTGTTTCACACATGAATTCCTTACTTTGGTTGTTTTCATCTCTAACATGGTTGAGAACATTTGTTTGAAGAAGTTGAATATTAGAGTCAAGAAGATTTTATAGCTTATTAAAAAAACATGATCAAATTTGTATATACAAAGCTTGAATAAACTTTTAAGAACTTAACCAATATGCATTTCATCACTGGTTCTAACTCAAATTTGATGATTGGGAACTCACAAATATTTCAAATACACAAATATCAAACAAGACATTTTCAAAAGTAATGTTATGTGAAATTGATTAGATTTCTCAAGTTTTGGTTTGATGGAAAGAATTGGATCCCACTAAAACTACTTGGCAAGATATATTTTTAATTCATGTGCACAAGAATACTAGACATATGCATATAGATGATAATATTATAATTAAGATATAATTGAAAAAAAAAATAGTAACTTATAACTTTTATTTTCTCTCAACGTTTTATTTGTTTTATTCTTGTTTCATTGCTACACCATTTTGTTATTTCTTGTTTCTCTATTTACTAATTATTATCTTGATGTTAACCTTCTTTATAGTAAGACATTCATATTTTAATACTAATACAATACAAAATCTATTTCATCAGTTTATTTTTAACTTGATTGTTTGTTGTGAGTTCCTTTAAATTGGTTTATAATTTACAACTTTAACTAAAAATTTGAATTATTAATAAGTTATCCAATGGAACATAATTTGTCAAGATTTAGGCTCTAATCCAAAATAATTCATATCTATATATAAGGATTTTGAAAAGAAAAAAAAATGCATTGCATTTAAGATATGATATGTAATAAACCTACAACATCATGAAGAATAAGTGAGATTAAAGTTGTGACATGATGCAATTAAAATTGATTGATATTGACTTTCTGAAACTAATCATCTCCACCACTTTATATCAATATAAGCAAGCATCAAAGACTTAAACAACTTAGTGCTCCAAATGAAGCACATATGTGATAGAGAAGAATGAAGAAGGAAAAAGACGATGAACTAGTGAACTAAATTTTGTTAAAACTTGGGAAATTGAATTTCTTCACCACATTTGCTCCTTGGAAGCAAAGGACACTCAATGAAATCTGACCCAGAAGTGTCCACACACATGTAAACTTGGTAGAGTTGACTGTTACGAGCTGAATCTCTGTTACACTCTATTCCAGGGGTAAACCCAGTGCCCTCTTTTATGGCATTTGTTATGCTATTTAGACTGTAAAATTCATCATCTGGTTCAATCCCTGAAATTCATTCATTTCTGTTAGAATTGTTGCTCTAATCACGTAAAATGTATAGATAACAAGTTTTGTATGAAAAAAAGAATATATAGAAAAGAAATGAAAAAGATGTACCTGCATTCTTGAGGATCTTAAGGAGGTTTAGTTTTTTCTTGAGTTTGAGAGTTGCTTCAAAGTACTCGGTTTGATCAAGCTCAGATTGTGCACAAGTGCCATGTTTTTCCCATTCGTGTGACCAGAACCTCATCCCATTGCTGCTTGGGCAGCTCAAGGATGGCCACTCCTTCTCCATGCTGCTAATAAGCTCTGAGATCTGCATCAATATATATATATATATTATCAAATGTATATACTTAGATATATTAATTATCGATATGGTATATTCTTTCCTTCTTCTTTTCTTCATTTTTATATGAACCTTGTTTTAACTCTTTTACTCTAGTTGAAATCCAAGATGTGGATCTATACTTTAGATGTCCATAATTGTAAAAGTATATGATTTAAATTGAATCAACCATAACATAAGTACTCCACTAATAAAATATAAGTTGAATCAGAATTGACATTATTTATCTAAAGTGGGATTTGGCACTAGCAAATGTTATATGAATGTCATATGAAGTATTTTTTTTTTTTATCATGAAAGTTCTTATCAAGTACCTGAGATTTATCAAAGACACTGTCAGGGTCACAGTTAGAGGGCCAGGAGCCATCATTGTAGTTAGGCCAAAGTCCATGAATGCTGAAATCTGCAGCAGGTTTCCCAGTCTTAGGATAACAGCAGCTCTGCCTTGTGTCACAGTATGCTCCTGGCCACTGCATAGAATCATAACACACAAAATGTATACATTGATTCAGAAACACAAATTTATCTATGAAGTTACTATAAGAGTCAAAACAAAACACATTGCCTTACCTGCTGAACAAAGTAGAAGAAATCAAAGTCCTGAGAAAGGCATGCAACTGATAGACATAGCAGTATGAGAAGTTTGGATATAATACAAAAAATGAGTTTCATCTTTGATGATCTTCGATGCCTGCTTCCTCTCTTAATTGAAAACAAACAATGAAGGATGTTGACAAAGTAATGTTTTTATAGGCCAGAAAATATTATACGATGCTTGAGCTTACAAGGCATGCTATGGAGAATATGAGAATCAATCCCATTCTTTATCTATAACTTCACGTACTTGTATTCTGTTAATTGTACACCAAAACGTGCCCTCTAAGCTGTCATTGGGTAATCAACCAATTAATTAGTCAACGTCTATCCAATACTATTAATTTCACTTTTTATAGCTACCCATATCAATAATTTATCATAATTATTAATTAACAAACCTCCAAACCTAATAATTCAATCTGAACAATACTCATTAATTTAGTTTTATTATTTCATTTTTTATTTCTAGATTTTATCATCATAATATTTTTATTACTATAAACATTAAGTTGACCGATATGAAGTGGTGATACCTAATCTATGTCTAAATTCAGTTTACTTTTTTCTGCCTCTACACGGCAAGTAAGTCCCTGGGACAAGAATTAATTGTACGTGGAAGAAAGATGTTTGAAAGTTTAGCAGCAAATTTATACTAAGAAGATTTTAATTATGGATGTAAATTTTAACGTTGTTGTGTGGTTGTTGGCTGCAATGTTAATGACGTAAAGTCAAGTTCAAAAGCTTTGGTGGTCTTGCTTGCAAGTAAGTCAATTTGAGGGGCTGTTTGGCCTATAGATTGTCATTTTAGCAACAGAAATATACCAACCAGCACAAACCCTTTCCCATTGCAATTTCTTCACAGTCTCTATCACTTACAACTTTTTCTTTGCAATTATTATTTCTTCCACCAAACATCTTTTAGATTATATTTTATTCCGATGCATCTATTGGTTTTATATTATTTAGAAATAGAGATTAAAGATAATGTAAAAATATTTCTTTTTTCAATTTTTTAAATATTTTTTGAAGATAAAATTATGACAGAGCTTTAAATTGTAAATTTAAAATATTTCAAATTTAGTGATTATTTTATGCTATCTGAAATTTCATTTTCTTAACTTAGGTAATGTTGTTTTAACTGACATTTTAATTTTTTTATTTTAGATAAAGAAAGCTTCAAAAGTTTTGACCTTACCAAATTCAGATTAGAGATGAAAAATATGGTATCTTAAATTATATGCTTTGATACGTAGACATTAATAAAATTTAGAGATAAAAATATAATTTATTTGATGGACATTGACGTATTCGAATTGAATGGTAATAGAGTGTGGATCCAGATCTAGAAGTTGTGAGAGAATGCAAAAAAAATTGTTTTCAAACGTAGTTGTAACTTATATAATAAACTAATGATCACAACAAAAATATCATCTTAAACAACAATTTTTACCTAAATGAATATAACTACTCACTTTTATCCAAATGGAGGAAAAATATAAAGGTATCATGCATTGCTATGACCCGTTAGATAAGTATGTCAGATGGACGAGCTCGATTAAAATTTTTAATTCGTTAGTATGTTTTAGTCTGTTCCACTTAATCCGTCAAATTAGCGTGTTAAGATGAAGTAATCCGTTCTTGACTGCCGATTTCTTTTGTTTTTCTTTTTTATTTAAAAATTAAAATTAAAGAAAATTAAAAAAATCAATTTTTATATTATTTTTTATAAAATTATAAATATGTAATTCTATTATAATTTAAATCATTAATTTATAATTAGTATAACAGATTAATTTAATTTATTCAATCAAAAATATTAATTAATCAATTAAAAGTTTAGAAAAAGAATTGTAACTAAATATATTTTAAATATTTATTTGTTAGTGTAACCTTCCAAATATATAATATTAAACTATAAAGGAATTATCACATAATTAATAAAATAGCTCAGTTAACAAACTATGAGAATCATTTAAACATAATAATCAAATTTCATATACAAATTTATTAAGTTCAAAATTATATATACAAGATTTAGTGTTTTCAAAACAACCAAAGGAAAAGAGAACTGTTAAAGATTTATTACAAAAACTACTAAGCTTTTGAGTCGTCTCCACTTCCTAGGGCCTGCTCCACCGTCACCTCATCACCTTCTACTCACTCACTAGATAATCATAGTCAAGACAATCACGTACAAGAACATACCAACAAAACATACAAACAAAATGGTAAGCTAATGATACAAAACAATTTATATTATATTGTAACATTTCACACATGAATCACATTTCATATAAAGTAATTCAATCATCCTAAACATGTCAAAACCTAGATTGGACTATTTGGATTTAGTATGAATAATGTCAAGCGATGACGGATTGTACACTTACGGTGGCCTCTACCGCTTTGCAAAGTCAATGTCAATGAGTTTCACTCTACCACACTCAAAAGGTTAGTTTGTATCTCGTCTTAGGTCATACTCGAAGCACCTTAACTAAGACATCTTGCTACTCTCACCACATGTATCAATTATCTCTACTTGAGAATGAATGATCATTAGAGTGTCAGGATAATCACCAAGACTCAACTCCCTAAATTCATACTAACAACATTTTGATACAACCATTAAGAATCCTCCTTAGAACTCTTACGCACCTCATTCTATTCACATATATGTTCCAAACCTTACCATAAATAATACAACAAAACATTATAACTTTTAAAAACCATAGGGGAGATGGAGGGAGAAGGGGTGGTGGTGGAGGGAGCAACACCCAACCAATTGCTATAAAATTTTAAAATCAATTGTAAAAGAAAAAACAATCAGTTATCATTTGATTTTATATTTTAAATTTTTTAATTTTTGATAAAGATATAATGTCAATGCATATCGGATTAAAATAACACTATACTTTAATTACGTGCATCTAAGTTACTTAAAACTTTTACGAAAAACTTAATTAAAATTAAAAATGACCGAACACAATTATTTCTGTGAATTTTTTTTGACAGTTTGTTCAATTTTATCCTCAGTTTTTAAACAGCTAGGTCATCTTACATGAGTGAGAATTTTAAAGAAACAAAAAATAACAGAGGTGATTAATATATTACACTCAGTTAAATCTACCAAAGAAAAGTACATTTTAATTCATTTTCATTCAATATCTGAAAAGATAAAATCTCCAATTCTTAGGATTTATTCCCACAGATTCTCACCATCATATTGAGAACAGAAGTTGCAGAAGTGTTGGCTATAATTGGATACACCATTTTATTAGATAAAGCAGTTTCATATGAAAATGAGAAGAAGTAGAAAAATTTTGTATAAAGTTCTACTCATTCTTAGAAGCTAAAAAGATGGGAACTGAATGTCTGAGCCACATTTTCCATGAGGGAATACAGAGCACTCAATGAAATCTGAACCAGAATTGTTGACACATAAGTAAACTTGGTATAGCTGGCTGTTCCCAGATGAGTCCACATTGCACTGAATGTATGGAGTGAACCCAATTGCATCCTTTATTGCCCCTTTTATGCTGCTCAAACTGTACGATCCTCCGTTTGGTTCAATTCCTGACAAGAGAGATTCAGTATCAATAATCAATAAGTCATATTATCAAACTTGTATAAAAATATAACTCCACTTTCAACTCAGACAATGAATCTCTCATGTTAAGATAATGAGTGTATATGGTCACATCACATAAGTCCTTACAATAGTAAGATACGGATTTGATTTTGGTATCATTTTAAGAGGTTCTTACCAATAGAAATATGTTACGTGTATATAAGCTTGGGACTTTTGTTTGTATAGTAACAGTTTTAACATGTACCTGCAGATGTAAGAGCTTTGAGGATGTTGGCCTTTTGTCTGAGGCTGAGAGCAGCTTCAAAATAGTCATGCTGTTTGAGGACTGACTCCGAACAAGTTCCATGTTTGTTCCATTCATGGCTCCAGAATGTCATCCCATCCCCACTTGGACATGCAAGTGTGGGCCAATTGTTTTGCAAACTACTACTCAGATCAGATATCTGTCATCATAATAAACACAAAATTACTGCCAAATTAACCATCATGCAAACACAACACTGTTCAAGGGTTAGAATACAAGTGTTTTTTATTTTTTTATTTCAGCTTCCCTACGTAGCAGTTATGGTATTCACCATCTGAACTTTACAGTAAATTTAAAAAACATTCCATCACAACACGTTCAAATGACATAGGGTTCCACCAAAGAAAACTAAATAAAAAAATAAGATCGGTTTATCTGGTGAGGGATAGGCATCACTTTTCCATAGCTTGGTACGAAAACTGACATATACTTTAGTAAGAAACTTGTGTTAAAGAGCTAGTTACAAGGTTTCAAAACGTAATTCTGAGCATAATGTAAAAGCTTTTGGAAGTTTTCAGTTATAATTCCATCAAAACTACAGCTGCATGGTTCAGTTTTTTTTAACTTCATTATAATATTAAAGATTATGATAATATAACAACTAGAATCTAGCAACATATCATTGGCCAACATAAAGTTGAACACGTTTTTGCTGTGAAGGATAAAAGGCAAAACATCTTTTATGGCTTTTGAATTGGATACAATAATTGTGGGCCAAAAGCCCTTTTGAGTCAAATGGAAGAAACAGAAGAGGAGACAGCAAACAGTTCTTACAGCAACTCGAATGTTATACTATGAAAAGAGAAACCTTAGATAACATCAGAGACTGTGGATTAGGATTGAAGAACCATATCTAAATATTTTTTTCATTAAGAAATTATGAGATATGATATGATAATGAAGCACCTGAGATGGGTTGAAAGGGTTGTTAGGATCACAGTTAGAAGGGTATGAGCCATCGTTGTAATTAGGCCACAGACCATGAATTCCAAAATCTGCTTCAGGCTTTCCACTTGTGGGGTAGCAACAATTCTTCTGTGTGTCACAGTATGATCCGGGCCACTGAAAAAGCAAAGCTTGAAACAATGATTCATTAAAAAGTTCCTTGTAACACAAAGCATCAATGCATGATCTTCCAATGAAATTTTAGATTACCTGTTGAACAAAGTAGAAGAAATCAAAATCCTCTGAAGCACAGAAAAGGGACAAATAGTGCAGCAGCAGCAGAAGCTTGACCAAAATGGAATTTTTAGACTCCATTTTCACCTCTGTTCTTAGAATTGGTGGGATAGAAATGGAATGTGATTTTTTATGGCTTTGATTTTGAGAGAATGCTACAACTATGGATTGGTATATCAAAAATTGGTGAAAATGAAAGGAAAGAAGAAACCCAAATGCAGAGTATCAGAACGTTACATATATATATATATATATATATATATATATATATATATATATATATATATATATATATATATATATATATATATATATATATATATATATATATATATATATATATATATATATATATATATATATTCATTGTCTTGTCTTAATTGTCTGATATGGTTTACGTGTGTAACTGTTGCAGAATACCAGTAACATGTCGCCACTCTATTTTTTTTTTAATTTTATAAATATCACATATCAAAATTCCAAATCTCCATTCTTAAAAGTATGACATTTTTTGAAAGCTTAAACTTTTTTTTTAATAAATTGTGTATTTTTCCTTAATTATGTGTAATCTTATCACTTGAATGAAGTGAACTTATCATAGATGACAAAAAGTATCCATTAATGATTTTTAAAATTTCCTTTTACTTTATGTTTCTTTTCTCAAATATCCTCTTTAATTACTTTTAGTTTTTTTTTTTTTAAAAAAAAAACTCTAGATTGATTCCATGAATCTGATAATGATTTTTTTTTAATTTTAATATTTAATTTTACGTTTTAAGAGTTTTGGAATTATTAAAATTTTAAACTTTCTTTTTACTTTATGTTTTGTTTTTTTTCTCAAATCTTATCTTCAATCACTTTTAGTTTTTTTTTTCTTTTTCATTTTAAAATTTCCTCTTCAAGTGCATAAAAGACATTAAATCCCATAAAATAATTTTATACTATCTTTCCTTATAAAATCGTGTTTTTTTCTTATATTATGACATGTGTATAAATTTCCAAATTAAATTAAATAAAATTTAAATTAATCCATTTCTTAATTATCTATTTAAGTATATTCTTAATTTCTATAACTTTAGTAGAAAAATGTAACTTTCTTTCATCAACGTTAAATACAACATGATATTTGCTATTCGTTATTATATATGTATCTATGTTACATCTATTTTCCCTAAAATAATTATTTGTTAATTAAATTAATTTTTATAGTTTTTAATTTATTCATTTCTTTACATTTTTATAGTATTTCATAAAGATGTTAAAATGGGTAAATTCAACTAATTTGGGTTAAATTTATTTTAAAATTACATTCAAAATTCAAGCTAGTGCAAGGAGGTTGCAACTTGGATTGGATTGATCAGCAAAACTAATAAAAGCACAAATCATAAGACAATTGTTAATTATTTGCAAATTTGAAGAAACACGCGTTTTAACGGATTTATATTATAATATTTTATTTTTTAATTAAAATTTAATTTTCATAATAAGTTTTATTATTTTACATACTAATTTTCATATGTTTTTTAATTAATATTATTTATATATTTTATTATTTTTACATGACTTTTTAAAATTTGAGATATAGTTTGAAAGATTTAAAGATCAAATTGAGTTAAAATCGTCACTGAGAAAGAAACAAAGGAATCAGGAAGGAAGGACACTTGTAAATTATAGAAATAAAAATGTAACATAAGAAATGTGAGAGAGTCAGTTTAATTATTATTTAGAAGAGGATATGTGACCAAGAAAATGAATAAAGTGATTTTATGTAAATTAAGGGACATATAAGGAAGTAAATTGGGTAAAAAAATCTATATTTTACCTCCAATTAAATGTATTTAAAATTTTAAGACATTTTATTTCTATTAAATGTCTATGTGTGGCTTTAGTGGATATTTAATTCTGGAAATGTTTTAATTTGTGTAATAAACAATGCTTTTATGAGAAAGAGTTGTGTATAAAATTTAATTAATTGACTAAATTAATAATTTATTTAATTTTAGGAACGGCACACCATTGAAGTTTTAAAAAAAAACTGCTTCGGTTTTAATAAATAAGAAAACTGTAACATATTGTAAATGTAATTAATTGGATATAATAAAAAATTAAATTCAGAAATGATTAAAATTTGTGAATATACATTTAAAATGAATATAAACTGTAAAAATCTACGTAAATTTGCTGCTAAAAATAATTTTATTTTAAGAAAGATTGTGAAGAATCCGGCTCGCCTATTTCAAAATTTAATTTACTTTTTTTCAGATAAAAGTTATTGGTTGTTTCTTATCCTATTTTTCTAAATCTAATTATCTAAGAAAACTTTTTCTAAAATTATCCTAATTTAAATATTATTTTCTCACCTTATTGTTTGCTGGTATAACCTCTTTATCTTTTGGTTAAAAATATTTTAGTTTAAAAAAATAAATATATTATACATTGAATAAAAACTATAGAACAGAAATCAAGCTTGTTATGCAACATTCACAAAAACTTCGCTACTTACAGTAAAAATGTTGGAGCCCAACAAGTTATGGGCCGGAAGAGCAATTGGTCCATGAGGGGTATATGACACCGAAGGTAAGGAAGGTTTATGTGCCAAAAGAAAGAGTGTTTCTTCCTGCACCATCCCACATTTCTGTTTTTACCGCCATATTTATTAAAAATTTCAAAATTATTTTCTACATCTCAAAAAGTTTTACACTTCACTTTTTTTTTTCTTGAATTTCGAAATTCGTTGAAAAATTCTAAACATTTTGAAATTTTGAAGAATGTTATTTTTGAAATGTGGAGGTAAAAAAGAAATGTGGGATGGTACAAGAAATGCTCAAAAGAAGGAAAATAGAGAAGCAGTTTCCTTTTAATAGCAAATAACATACAAATCACATGGCACTTTTTTTCTCTCTTCTCTTTTATCACTAAATTGTTTGGTTTGTAACAATAAATCTGCAACATCAAAAGATATCTACTATTACAAAGTTAAATATACATTTCTTTCATTATTTACACTAACATAGGTAACTCATCACTAATGATCCGAAGTTGACAGTCATGACAATTACCAATTCCCAACATTTAAGAAGAGGCCTTGATTTGTTTATCTTCCGAGTTGCATACAGTGGCTATTCCTTCCAAGCACAAAATATTAGCACTCAATTCTGTGAAATGAATAGAGCAGTTTCTTCATTAATCTTGATAAAAAATATTGACTATTGGCTCAACAAACTCCACTACCAGTAATCCCCACAGGAGCATTTCCCATCTTTAAAATGATGAAATCGCTGGACATCTCTTAGAATAATTTGCCTACCAAATATCAATGATATAAATTTAGCAGCGTTGTGGCAATCCACACAGACTCTAAGATTCTTGACCACACGAATTGTTGTTCCAGGGGGAGTATTCAGAAGACCATAAGTTATGGCCAGTTTCTCACTGTGATATCTAAGAACAATTTCTTTCTCTTCATCTTCTATGTCTGCATAAAAGACCAGAGATGTGTCAGGTACATACCCAGCCAGCTTCAATTCCTTTACCAATTCATCGAGTGCACGGTGCAATACGGTTGAAGTGGAACGAACTCCATCCCCGGCAAAGAATTCATGCACTACATTGTTGACCTCTATTGAGCTACAACCAGGGACTTTCATTGCTCCTTTGTCTGCCATCGTTTTCCTTAGGTAGTTCACATCATCCCATCTTCCATTTCTTGCACACAAGTTTGACAAAATGACATAATCCCCACCATGGGAATCATCCAGCTCAAAGATTCTCTCAATTACTTGCTTTGCCATTTCCACATTACCATGACTGCTACAAGAAGATAGCAAAGTCCGCCACAGAATTGGTGTCGGCTTGATCGGCAACTCGTCTATGAATTTATACGCCTCTTCCAAGCGTCCAGCTCGACCAAGCAAATCCACCATACACCCATAATGCTTGATACTTGGAACAATCCCATACTCATGAATCATACTATAGAAGTGATCATAACCTTCCTCTACCAATCCATTGTGACTGCAGGCATAGAGTATACCTAAAAAACTTATCTCATCAGGCTGCACTTTCGCCTTCTTCATTTCCTCCAACATTGATAAGGCTTGGGATCCATGCCCATGTGTTGCATAGCCAACAATCATCGCCGACCACGCTTGTGTGTCTCTCCTAGGCATCTCCCTGAACACAGAAACAGCGTCCTCCAAACTCCCACATTTAGCATACATATCTATAAGAGCAGTATTCACCTTTACATATTGATCAAACCCATTCTTCTTGACATACTCATGGATCCACTTCCCTAAGTCCAACGCCCCAAGCAAAGCGCACGAGGAAAGAGCAACAAGCATGGTGACATCAGTAGGCTTGAGGCCACTCTCCTGCAACTCTCTGAACAAAGCCAAGGCTTCATTGGGCTGGCTACTCCGAGCACAGCTCGTGATGATCGCATTATACGCGACGACACACGGTTCATCGATCTTGTCAAAGACCCTCCTAGCAGCATCCATGTCATTGCAGGCAGTGTACATATTAATAAGTGTTGGGCACACATACATGTTACCACTGACCCCAAGTTTAAAAGCAAGGCAATGCAGCTGTTTACCTTCCTGAAGCGCTTTGAGCCTTGCACAGGCCTTGAAAAGAGAGGAGAAAGTGTAGTCATCTGGAAGGAGGCCAGAGAACAAAACCTGACAAAAAAGAAGAATTGCTCTGAGAGGGTCATCAAACCGCGCATACCCACGTGCCATGGTGTTGAACAGAATAATGTCTGGGTGGGGAATTTGATCGAATATTTGGTGGGCATGGTCCATGGAAGCGGTTGTGGGGTTGGAAGTGCAGAAATTTATGAGCTTTGTGAGGACGGTGTGGGTGTTGTGGAGATGGGTTTTGATGGTGTAGGCTTGGATTTGCTTGAGCTCTCTGAGAGAGGTGCATTTGGGCATGAGAGAAAGAATGGAGGGTGAAGGTTGAAGTGCAACTTCTATGTTGACTTCTGTGGGAGAATGTGAAATGCATTGGAGAATGGACATTGCCATTGTTGTCACGCTAATTTCTTACGCATGACATCAAACAGAGGACACTACAAAACACGAATGGATAGAGATAACGGATTGAAGCGGTGGTTCAAATCAAATCCTTATTATTTTTTAATCTCATTTTTAGTATAATAAAAAAATTATTATGTTAATATAATCATTTTTATTTCATTAAATTTATTTAAATTTTCTTAAAGCATAAGGTATTTGAAAATGTAATTAATCTTTATTAATTGTCAAATGTATTGATTAGAAAAAAAATAATATTAAATAAGAAATAATTAAAGATTTTACATTTACATGTAATAATTGATAAAGATTAAATACGATTTTAATTATTTAAAAAAGTTAAAGTTAATAGAATCAAAGTTAAACGCATGTTCAATTATTTTAGATACTAATAAAATTCAAATAAATGAACTAAAATTATAAAAAATTAGTTTACTATACTAACAAAATATGTCATTTTTTATTGTCTTAAAACGATTATCTACTTAGACTAAATACTTTTTACATGAATAAAGTATTGATACTTTTTTAAATCAATTAAGTATAAAAATCAAGTTTTAGAAATATAATATTGTAACGTCATAAACTCCTTTATTTTTAAAGTCATGTTTCCAGTTATTTTTTTTTTTACGCTTAAATGCTTACTTCGTCCTCATGTTAAGAGATGAATTTCTGTTTAGTACCCGGTTTTAAAAATGAAGACATTTGATCCCTATGTTATGAAAAATATGAATAAGGTCCACAAAAAAGAACAAGTTCAATAAATCATCAAAGAAAAAGCTGAAGCAACGAGAGAAAAAACTGGACAACAAAAGAGAGAAGAGAAAAATACGGTCACATCAGCATGGACTTAACGTCGTTGTTGTCCACTTAACGGACAAGACCTTATTCATACAATTTTCATAACATAGGCACCCAATGTCTTCATTTTTAAAACCGGGTACTAAACAGAAATTCACCTCTTAACATAAGGACGAAGTAAGCATTTAAACCTTTTTTTAAATAAAAATCTATGTATTTCGATAAATTTAAATTCAAATCAGATCGCAAAAAAAGTCCTTCTACATCCTTAATCTGTATTTTTAGAGTATTTATATTATTTCATCTTGAGGAGAATTATTTTCTAATTTACATTTTGAGATTTTTTGTCATTTTTTTTCAAAATTTCTTTATAATATATTATTTTGTTTAAATTTCTAAATTTTCTTATCATTTAAGTTTTATATTATGTTGTTGTTTTTATAATAATAATAATAATAATATTAAAAAAATGATAAATTACTCTAATGCTAAAAGAACACAACGTTAATAATATATTTGGACGAGATTAATAACTAAGTCTATTATAAGTTATCTAAAAATAACAATTAATTAAAATGAAAATATGAAGTTATATATATATATATATATATATATATATATATATATATATATATATATATTTTCGAGTTACATGTATATCATTTACAAATTATCATAATTTTTGTTAATCATTGTTTATGTAAATAATTTAATCTCACAAGTCTCATTATTAGTTTGATCATTTTCATATTTATGATTTTGTTTCCTTTCCTGTAACACATTATGTTAGTTTTCAAATGTATGATTGGTAACCTAAATTATTTGTGAAGCTTGATATGTCATAATAAATTGTTCATCTTGATATTTGAATTTTTGAAAGTTAATTCATGTTATTCCTAATTTGTGAACTTTTACACAAGTTTTGTTGTTAACCCATGAAAACGGGTGCAAAAAACTTGGTATAACTAATCTCTCAAAACTCCTTTTATAACACTATAATAGGGTATAGATCCAAAAGTAGAATTATAATCTTTTACAAGCTGAGAAATGCATAGACTTTGCCTCCAAAGTAACTATGATATTTTGCAATGTGCTTTTATCATGTTGAGACTTTGTATAAAATAAACTTTCATTCATTTCATACCTAGAACAACATAAAACATTAAACTTTAATCCATTTACAAGTCAAGTTAATTTTCAAATGTTGTATTAAAATATGGCCCAATGCATATCTGAGGGTTGGACGACCCAATTGGATTTGAGGCCCGTAAGAGAGATGAAATATCACTTAAGCAAGATAGCTTACGAAGAAGTAGTCTTCGTCCCAGACAACAGAGAGAGAAAGAGCCTAGGGCTCTGCCAGGCTCTAGAGAGAGAAGTGGAATAGCACCTTCCAGAACGATGCAACCATGGACGTTTGGCGAAAGGAAAATACGCTCAGCACAGAGGCTTCGTTGGAGGTAAGAAAAATACACACTTGCTATATTCTCTATAATAGTATTTGTTCTTTATGTCTTTGTTACAACTAAAATGAAATGGGGAGAACTCTATTTATAGAGTTCTTGTGGAAAAACAGGAACCACTAATTACCACTAATTAAACGAACCAATTACTGTCTTCAGACAGTAATTTCTCCGTTTGAGGTAAGCTCAATAGTCTCCCCTCAAGTTGGATGGTGTATACTCATTAATCCAAGCTTGGGAACTATGGATTTGAACCGCACACGATGGGGAAATTTGGTGAAGATGTCAGCCAGCTGTTCATCCGACCAGACAGGGAGAAGTCGTAGGAGATTTGCCTGTATTTTTTCACGAACAACATGACAATCAAGCTCTATGTGCTTGGTCCTTTCGTGAAAGCTCTGGTTATGAGCTATGTGTCACGTTGATTTGTTGTCACAGTATAAGGCAGGAGTTCCAGCTTCTTGTACTTGAAGATCTTGTAGGAGATAGTGAACCCACTGTATCTCACATACAGTGGCTGCTAGGGCACGATATTCCGCCTCGGTGGAAGATCTGGAAACAGTGCTTTGCTTCTTAGATTTCCACGAAATGAGGGATGATCCAAGGAATACACAAAACCCTGTAGTGGACCTTCTAGTATTTGGACACGTTGCCCAATCTGAGTCACTAAAAGCTTTTAGATGAACAAGAGAAGCAGCTCCAAAGAACAATCCCTCTGAAGGCTTAGATTTGATGTACCTAAGAACATGTTGCACAGCCCGATAATGATGGTTAGTGGGAGATTTCATAAACTGACTCAATAGATTAATGGAAAAACACAAATCAGGTCTGGTATTTGTGAGATAGAGTAACTTCCCTATCAATCTTCGATAGGAGCTAGGGTCATCTAAGTAGATGTCTGTTCTATACAGTGAGCTTGTATAACTTAAGAAAGGGGTAGAAGATGGTTTGCATCCCAGCATTCCTGTTTCCTTAAGGATGTCCAACGCATATTTCCTTTGACATAGATGAATACCTTTCTTAGATCTGGCCACCTCCAAGCCTAGGAAGTATTTGAGTTCTCCTAGGTTCTTTATTTGAAATTTGTTATGCAATAGAGTCTTTACATTATTGATTTCAGTCATGGAGTTTCCGCCCAATATGATGTCATCTACATAAATAGGTAAGGCAGTAAAATCTGTAAAAGTCCCTTTTATAAAGAGAGAGTGGTCAGATTTAGACTGGGTATAGTTGACAAAAATGAGAAAGGAGGACAATGTTTCAAACCATTGCCTACTAGCTTGTTTTAGTCCATATAGTGACTTAGTAAGCCTACAAACCTAACCCTCTTTATGGGTATTAAGACCAGGTGGTGGTTCCATGTAAACTTCTTCATTTAAGTCCCCATGTAGGAAAGCATTGTCCACGTCAAGTTGATGAAAAAACCAATTATTAGAGGCTGCAAGGGCAATAAGTAGTCTAACAGTAGTGAGTTTGGCAACAGGGGAGAAAGTGTCTAAATAATCTATCCCTTCTTGTTGTGTGTATCCTTTTGCCACCAGGCGTGCCTTGTATCTTTCTATAGTACCATCAACATTGTATTTGGTTTTGTATACCAATCTAAAACCAATGAGTTTCTTTCCTGAAGGCAGTTGTGTTATGTACCAGGTGTTATTGTCTTGCAAGGCCTTGATTTCCCTCTACATAGCTTCTTCCCACTCGCACATGCCTCTGGCTTCATTATAAGACCAAGGCTCATCATTTGTAGTAATGACCATAATATACTTTAAGTGCTTTGCTGTCAAAGAGTCACAGGACAATAGATCAGAAATGGGATAAGGGGTTTTTAAAGTATTTTTCACAGATAAGGATTGATTAACCTGATGCACATAGTCATTCAGATATTCTGGAGTCCTTTTAACCCTGTTTGATCTCCTGCAACTGTGATTTTCTTCACCATTAGCAGTATTGTCACTATTATTGTTGTCAGCGACAGTCTGTTGCGTCTCTCTTTGCTCATTGGCATCCATCTCCGTGGGTCTTTCATCATCAACATGTTTATAAGAGAAAACAGACTTTGAAATAAAATTTTGGTCCGGATTAGGAAAGGCTTGTAGATAATATAGACCTTGGTAGGGTTTAGCATACCCAATCATCTTCAATGTAGAATTCTTCCTTATCTGACAAATCTCAAAAGAAAAAGTTAGACTGTAGTTTAAGTCTCTGATAAGACTTTGGACAGAAATCAGATTGAAACAAAAGTTAGGAATATACAGAACATTAAAAATAACCAAAACTTTAGAAAATTGGACAGTTCCTGCATGTTCAGCAGTGATAATAGTGTTATTTGGCAATCTGATAGAGATAGGTTTAATTTTGTAAAAGGTAACAAAGTTTCTTTTATCATGGGTCACATAGTCTGTGGCCCCTGTGTCAAGAATCCAAGAAGAAATACCTTGTTTGATCTCTGCGCTATCTCTCTACACCTGGTTGATCTTGTGAGTGGGTTCATCAACCTTCTCTATCATTTTAAGGAGTTTTTGCATCTGCTCAGGGGTAAAAGAGTTGAGGGCAGCATTGGTGCTGAACTGGTGAGTAGATTGAACACCCTCTGGACATGAACTGCTTTGGCAAGCATTAGCAGAATTCCAGTCTCCTTTCCTGTCCGGATTACTGTCAGTTTTCTTATACCAAGGGGGGTAACCGTGTTTGGAATAACACTCATCTACAGTATGATTCATTTTATTACAATAGGAGCACTGTTTTCCATAGTTAGGGTTCCTTCCTCTCCCCCTTCCTTG